CTTTAAGGAGCCCTGTAAGGAACCCTTAAAAGTTACTAAGTCCCATGATCCTTTAAGTACAGATTCCATCCGCAGCAACCGAGGAGAGTGCGCCGGCATCGATCTCTCGCTGTAGGAGCGGCCGCACTCGGACCGCGACCTCGTACGATTCGTGGTGCTACGATTGCTTAAAGGATCATGGGACTTAGTAACTTTTAAGGGTTCCTTAAAGGGCTCCTTAAAGGGATCTATAAGGGACCTATGGGGGGCTTAGGGTTTAAAGGATCATGGGACTTAGTAACTAAGGTCATTTATAGCGTAAATTTACTTGTAACTACTTATAACCCCAATTTGGGTACTTATAAACCTACTTACTAAGTCCCATGACCCTCCAAGTAAGGGCTTCCGATTAGGTTCAGGTGTGGGGGCTTAGGGTTCCCGGTTTTGGGTTTAGGGCTCGTCAAATAGGTGGTGTTGGTTGGGGTCTCGAACTGCGCAAAGGGTTCTTATAAGGCTTTCGGCAGAAGGGTTTGGGGTTGAGTTTGGGACTGTAGGATTCAGGGTCGGGGATTTCGGGTGTCGCTTCGCAGTACAGACGTGAGCGGTCACATGTTCTGAGAAATTTTGACAGTGATATCACAGGCAAGTATCTGCAGGTAGAAATCTTAAACCGCTGACCCGAACCCCAAAACCCAACAATTTGAAGTCCGAGCGAATTCCAGGCAAACTCGCGGATCACGTGCTGCTGCCTTTATTGTTTCGGCCATCCAGCACCACTACACCTCAGTGGCCACAGTTGGGAATTTTGCAAATAGTTTGGTCTTTTCAATCTGGGATTCAAGACTTGGAGTGCGGTGTTTCTTCTTCACAGCATATAAGAGTCTGCTTGCATGTCTCCCAAGGAAGACCAACGAAGACCAACTTCTGTTGATGATATAAATCCTGCATTACCTTAAGGACCCTAAAGTATGGGAATTATGGTATAGTATAGTCCTTATTGTGGTCATTACCTTAAGGACCCTAAAGTATGGGAATTATGGTATAGTCTAGCCTTCTTGTGGGTCATGCAGGATTTATATCATCAACCGTTCCACTGCCAAGGTTGGTCTGTGTCTGAGTGCCAGGTCCTCTTCGAAAACCCTCTTGCTGGTTTGACGAAGCATGATCTACATCCCCAAACCCGAACCCTACAGAACAGTAGGTTATGACCCCTACATAAGAGGGTCTAACCCCTAAAACAGTAGGGTTTTGGGTCCCCAGGGACCTAAACCGTGCTACATTAGGGTGGTTGTCAAAATTAGGGTCCCTTTTTGGGTCCCTATTATAGTACGGCGCCTATTATTTAGGGTACCCAAAACGGAACCCCAATTTTGACAACCAGCCATTAGGGCGCAACTGGAAGCCAAACGAGGTCGGCCTGTGCGACCTGGCAGTATAGCGTGCACCCTTCGCCTTGCTAGACGATACAAAAACTCAACACGAGAGCAAGCCCAACACCCTAGACCCTGGCCGGCAACGACATTAAACCAGGTCAATGTATCACAAGCGTGTTCAATCGCATTCTGAGCAACCAAGCGGCTGTCCTCATGGCATGACGTAGAACGTCGCAAGTCTAACTAGCCCACGCTAGCTGCAGCCCTTTTTTGTTTTTTTGGTCTTGAAACAAAACCGTAACCAGCTTTGCTTTGCAGCAGTGCTATTGCTGTGGCACCTGCTGCTGCCATGAAGCTCCTGCAACAAGCTTTGCCTGTTTCGTCTCTTCCTCGACACGATGGTGCAATTCAGTCAGGACGGAAGTTTAAACAGCTGCGGCAAGATGATGCCCAACTCACTTTGTCAGACATTCCGGAAATCGAGGCAACCGGAATCTAGGGTTCAGGAATTTAGGGTCTCCGGTTTATGGCTTACGGTAAATTGTTTAGGGTTTAGGCTTAGGGTTTTCCGATCAGCTTCCGCACATCCTGTGATGGGTATGTTATCGGGTGCTTCGGGGTGGTGCGATGCAGACCATTTTGGGGCCTTCTCGGGCTTCAGAGCTCGGTGGGACTTCCGAGTGAGATATAGTCCTAACTCCTCTCTACTTGAAGGCTCATGGGACTTAGTAAGTAAGGTTATAAGTAGGTTATAATTAGGATAACCCCACTTAGGGGACTTATAACCCCAGTTATAACCTACTTACTAAGTCCCATGATCCTCTAAGTAAGCCCTACATGTTGAACACTAGACTCGACCTAAAGGCTTGGAGGTCGCTACAATGTGGGTGGTTGTCAAACTTAGAGTGCCTTTGGGGTCCTTATGATAATACGGCACCTAATATTTAGGCCACCCAAAGCAGACCATAATTTTGACAACCACCCGTGTGGAGGTTGTGAACTTCTCGAAGAAGCCCTTGGAAAGCAGCTTTAATGCCCCGGATATGCGTCAGGGTGTACTTTTTGTTGCCTAAAGGGCCCGAATCCCACAGATGGGTGAGCCTCTGGGTCTAGGACTTCACGGTTCAGGCCTTCCGGTATGCCGCAAGAAATCTGGTGTCAAGCCGGCTTTGGGCAGTCATAGGAGGACTTTGGCACGGCTCAGGGTTTACCTAAAGGATCATGGGACGTAGTAACTGGGGTTATTATTTAGGGTAACTATACTTCTAACCCCAAGTAGGGTGCTTATAGCCTTACTTACTAAGTCCCATGATCCTCCAAGTAGGGTTTGGTGATGCATAGGTTTTTTTTTTGAAAAAGTGCATAAGTTTTTGAAAAAAAAACCTATGTCAGAGAATCCGGTGCATTCATATTTTTCGTCGCACACGCAAACCTTGCTTGCAGCCCGGCGGGGCTGGCTCAAGGTCTCCGCACAGCCTGGCAGCACTCACAGCTCAAGCTGGAGAAAAAAACAAAAAGGCATGCAGTTCTAAGCAGAGCACTGGAAGCGAACAGACGCTTTGGGGGTTTAGGGTTTAGGGCCTTAGGGGCTCAAAAATTGCGTAGAAGTTTGGGTCAGAGATAGGAGGCTTTCAGATTGAGAAGCTTCAGCCGAAACCTTCTGGCTTGGATCCCCGATCTTCTTCTTCGGCACCCTAATCCCTCACCGCTAAGCACTGCTTGGAGGGTCGGGGGACTTAGTAAGTAAGTAGTAAGTAGACTTATAGGTACCCTAGAAGGGACCCTAATTGGGGTTATGGTACGTATAAGTCCCTAAAATAACCAGTTACTAAGTCCCCCGACCCTCCAAGTGGCGGTTTGGGTCTTGTTGTCGGGGGAGCTTCGGATCTGGCGTGAAGACTGAGACTTGGGGGGCTTCGGGCACCAAGGCTCATGAGACGCAGACCCATCCCGAAGCCCAAGCCCCAAGCCGTCATCGCTAGCCTGCATAAAGTTTAGAATACTGTTGATGATATAAATCCTGCATTACCTTCAGGACCCTAGACTATGGGAATTATGGTACAGTCCTCATTATGGGTCATGCAGGATTTATACCATCAACAGAAGCTGAACGATGAGGAAGCCCTAGGGACGAGTGTGGGTACTTGTTCCCTCCACAGTCGGATGAATTCTCTCAGTTGGGGGCCTCCTTTGTGTGTGGGCGCCGTCCTATTTTTGGGCTTAGAGAAGCGACCCTAATTCAAAGAACTACAGTAAGGAACCCTTTTAAAGGGACCCTTGTTTCCCTGAGTTGTCCTTTGAGCCCTTTGAAGATTACTTACTGTTAAGGTTCTCCACAATAGCAAGGGAAATTCAAAAACATCCCAGTGGACAACCCAGTTCCTTGAGAGTTAGGATTATGGGGACCCTCGGGGATATAGACCCTCTCATAAGGTCCCTTTTAAGAGAGCCAGAGGTAGGGTTCGGAAGGGGTACCCTCTAAGGGGTCTCCCTCATCATGCAACCCATTCCTAATCACCCTTGTCCTTTTAGAAATAGTAGACAGAGCCCTATACCTATATCCCTTAGTAGGAGTTATTTAAGAAGGTCTACTAGCCGGTCCATTTACTCTTTTGGGGGAACCATGAAAAAGGACAAGGCTGTTCCTACCCTAAACCCTAAACCCTAAATTCTAAACCCTAAACCCTAAACCCCTAAATCCTAAACCCGGCTGTTTTCCTAATTTAGAGAGCAGCCTGAAGCTGAGCGTTGCACCTTGCTGGATCGGCTTCGGTCCTCGCTTTCTGAGGTGCAAGGCCTTACAAGCCCCGGGGATGTCTAGGGTTTAGGGCTTTAGGGTTTTAGGGTTTTGGGGTTTAGGGTGTAGGGTTCCGGGTGTAGGGTTTAGGGTTTAGGGTTGAGGGTTTGGGGTTCAGGGTGTAGGGTTTAGGGTATAGAGTTCTGTAGATCAGAGTCTCATTTCACAGCGATGGGGTTTTGGTGTTTTTTGGGGGTTGACAGAGTGCACGTTCTTGGCCTGGGGTTTAGGGGTGTTGGGGTCGGGGCCTATGGATATACCATGAAGACTGGTCCGGGCTTGGCAAGACGCTTGCTTTCTCACCACTGATGTCTAGGAAGCCGGAAGCCACCTGAAAGCACACTACTTCTGGCCTGGGAGACCTTATGCCACCTGCAGGATTCGTCTGTGGGGCGGTAGGATGCTTCCTGCAAGCCACTTGCAATGATTGGTTCAAGGGACTCTGCACTGCTTTAACTTACCTTTGGTTAGTAGGGAATGGGAAGAATGGTAGTAATAGTAGTTGTAATTGTACCCCATTCCTCCATTCCCTACTAACCCAAGGTAAGATGATTAGCTCATGGGATTCTGCACTGCTTTGATCCAAGCCTCAGTCTGCTGGGGAGCAAGCACTGATTGCGCATACGGCTTCAGGCTCGCAAAAAAACTCGGCACGCCGTGGAAGAGCTTTCACATGCGCAAGTCGAGGCTGGTGCAAGTTCGCAAGACTTTCCTAGGAATGACTCTTTACAAAAGCTGAACAAAACGCGGTGTGCTTGCAGTGCTTCTTTTTCCAAGCCAAAACGTCGAAACCCGCAACAGAGCTGATGTCTTCCGGTCAACTAAGGCGACGGTGGAAGCCACGACGTCATTCAATGACCTCCACCATGTAGGGCGAGGTACAGGGGATTGATGGTCCAAACAATCCCCGAGTCGCAATCTGCTGCCTGATTCGGATCGCAGTCCCCCAACTTTTCCGTCAAATCGCTTTCCTTGACCGAGCTGACGTCTTCCTGCATCTCCGCACACTTCTTCTCCCTGCGTCTGGTGTTCCACTTCTGAACAAAGCGCTTCAGGAGCATTCCAACCGTCACAATGATCGGAGCGGCTGTGCCCAAGGTTGCGATGGCACCCACGAGCCCGGCAATGCCAATGGCAGTGCTTGCAATGAGTACCTCCATAAGCCCATTAAACGTTAAACCCAAAATGAAGAAACACGAATGCAACCTACATATTATATTATATAATCCCCTGAGTCTACAATATCACAGGAAGAACAGACTGAACCTGAACCCTACACCCTAAAGCCAAAACCCAAAACACGCAGACCTTGCGGTTGAACATGTTCAGCTCCAGCAAGCAGAGAGCCTCCGACTCCCCTGTACGGTCCTTCGCAGCTCGCGCTTCCTGAAGTTTACGCTTGAGCTCATTCCTGGGTTCTTGTTAAGGGTTTAGGGTTCAGGGGTTTGGGTTTAGGCTTCCATAATCAGGAAACCCTATTATTTACTGTAGATCCCTCATATGCTAACTTAAATTAAATTCTGTATCAGGAACCGAGATTCCGGTCCAGGTGGCTGTTCATCCCACTCTGCACGGTGAGGATAATCCCCACCGGCGTTGTGTCGGCCACTGCTTCTGCCACGTCAGTCAAAACCGCACCAACCAGAGATGCCCCGCTCCTTCCAAGGGAAATCCAATCGCCAACCTTCGTGGTATACCATGTTTCATTGTACTAGACTAGACTAGACTATACTATGCTATACTATGCTATACTATACTATACTGTATTATACTCTACTATACTTTACGATACTATGCTTTACTCTACTATACTCTATTGTGCTGTACTAAACAAATCGCCAGCCTTCGCGGCCTCACCCCGTAGGGTCACTTTTCCGGACTCCACGACCGAGCTGTTGCACGTCACTTCGGGCTCAAGATCTTCATGAAGGTCGGCATTCAGCGGATTCATGACCTAGGTTAGTACTTGGAGGATCATGGGACTTAGTAAGTAAGGTTATAAGTACCCTAACTGGGGTTTTAAGTAGTCATAAGTACAAGACACTTGCCTTAAGAATAACCCTAGTTACTAAGTCCCATGATCCTTTAAGCAGCCCCTTCATAATACGGGTACCCTTTTCCCAATAGTCAGTTTGAATAAGGGGACCCTAAACAAAAAATGGGCACAAGCATACTACTCAGGAACCTAGTGACCCAATTGATTTCGTCGGTGGGTTTAGGCTCCCCACATTTCAGGCCCACCAGGGATCGGAGCGCGTTGGCATCCGTGCTCTCCCCCCGGGCCTGCATCTCATCTTCGAAATCCGCCTCCGATCGCATCGAGGTGCACAGCGGAAGCATCTGGCAGGAGAAGATCAGATAGATGTAGAAGGCTGATGTCCAGTTTCTCGCCATGGCTGGAGCAACAGCGATTGCACGTGGAAAAAAATGCAGGCAACGAGATTTGCTTGATTACATCTTCGAGCCGCCATGGACACGACATAGTGCGGTCAACCAATAAGCGGAGTGGTCTGAAGCTGGACGATGAAACACACTACAGTGAGCTACCAGAAAGATAGGGGCCTTAATGAGTAGAATAGGGTTTTTGGGCCGGAACCCCCCATGATTTAGGCACCTATACCATAAAACCCTACTATAGATCCCTCATAGATCACTGTAAGGAGTGAGCTACCAGGCTACCAGCAAGCAGCAAAGCAGCAGGGCTACTTTCAACTTTGGCGTCTCACTGAGCTGCTGACAAGGGCTTTGGCAATGAAACTCCATCGGGGAGTTTCCGAAAAATGAGGGGACCGGACCAGAGGGGTTGAGGGGTTCCTTTAAAGGGATCCATAAGGGTTCCCTAAAGGGGTCTAGAAGGGAACCATTAGATCATTAGGTCTAGGCTTTAAAGTTTCCGAAAATAGGGGACCTTAAGGGTTCCTTTAAAGGGTTACTACCAGGGTACTATCAGGGTTTCTTTAAAGGGCTCTATAAAGGTTCAGATGGGGTCTGCTCTCGTTTAGGGCCACCTCGTTTGCTTTTGGGAACAACGTTTAGGGCCACCTTATTTGCCTGTGGGTTTAAAGCTTTCTGTGAGCTTTCGAAGGATGTTGACGGTGGAAGCTCAGATAAGCTACTCCATCAGATTTCGTTGAAGTTACAACTCTCTCTCCTTGCCAAGAGTTTACCCTCCGCGCCTGCAATGCTGGATCATCACATGTATCCACTTAAGCCAGAAAGAAGAGTGCATTTGTCTGGTCCACCCACGCCCCGACACATGATCAAGGGTACCAGATGAATCTCAAAGTGGCCGGTGTATATCAGTGGTCACCATGAGAACATGAGACGGTTTATATATGTACAACGACCTTGTTCCTGATGAAAAACACCCGCCTTCAAGAGTTCGGCTTCAGCATAAATCTGACAACTTCAAACGTAAACTTCACATTCGGAACCGGCAAACGAGGTATAACTTGCTTTGCATGCAGTTAACTGCCAGTAACCGTGGAACCTCACTGAACATAAAGCGTGCTGTGAGCTCTCATGCAACAGCCTGGAATTCATACCGAAACATAACCCGCGGTGTCATGACGGAATGGGAACTTGAAGGCGGCTCACACATCGGAAGCTGACAAAATGCTGTTACTATGGCATGCTGTAGACTCATACTATAATCCGTTCTACCGGAACTATCTCAGGCCATAATATGTGATATTGTCGTTTAATGTATTTTAACATATTGAACTGTCTTGTGCTGGACTGAACTGTTACAATCTGTACTATATAAAGCTACACTAGAGTAGATGATTGTGTATTCAGTCCATTATACTTCACGAACTGTACTATACTATATGAACTATAATATGATACATGGCGTTGTACTCTACTATACTGTATTTTGTGAAAATGTACTGTCCACTCTATCCTGTTACATTAAAACAATATCCCATGTTACATTATACTGACTACACTACACTATACTATACTACACCATACTGTACTGTACTGTACTCTATACTATACCAGACTCTACTCCACACTATACTGTACTGTACCACACTATACCATAAGCAAAGCAAAGTATCTAAGGTATCTCTTTGCCGTTTGTTTTGAACGTGACGCAGCCCACCAGCGTCCACACGTCGTCGTTAACCTTGACAGCGCTTTCAGAAAGCGCCGTGCAACATGCAAACAGCAGAACATGGCTCATGCCGCCGGGCCATGCTGCAGGTTTAGGGGTTTTTGTGCTTAGGTTTAGGGTTTTTAGGGTTTTTTTTTTTTTTTGAGCTCCTTTTTCCGCCAAGCAGACGTCTCAACTCAACAGAAGGCCAGCAGGCCAGGGAGAGGTGGACAAGTGTTGTCCAGCAGTAAAAACCCTCACATCCTCAGCAACAAGTCACCCAGAGAGCACGTACGGCTCACCGAGGCAACTCTCGAACCCTCAGACGATCACATTCTTCGAGCAGCAGGCAAGAACATATCAGATGCCGGTGCCCTCGTCGTGCCCTGAGCCCTCCGCGAAATCCCGAGAGTCATCATCACGCCCATGTGCAGCAGCCCAAGCAGCCCCTCCATCCATGTAAATCCGCATTCGACGAAGGAGCTCTTGCACTGCAGACTCACCAAGCTGGGCTCTCACCCTGTCATTGCTAATCGAGCCTGCTTAAGGGCTTAGGGTTTAGGGTTTTAGGGGTCAGGGCTCAGGGTTTGGGGTTTTAGGGTTTAGGGCATAGTCTAAACAAAATCCTCAGCACCCGCAAGCTGCCAGCTCAGGGAAAGACTCAAAGGCTGCATGACCCAACTCCGACCAACCTCCCAGAATCGTCATGATCACTCCGAGAACAGGGCAAAACACCCAGTGAAATCGAGAAAGACGAGCCTGTGCAGGCGAGGAAAGGAACGCTGCAAGGTCCAAAACCGGATGCACAAATTTCCGTCACAATTGCCTCAGACCCAAAATGTCCACTCCTCAAATGACCCAATCCAAACAATCCGAAGACCTAACAAAACCCCGGCCGATTCCCGCAATGTGAATCTTTTGCCGGCACTGTGATTGCATTGGGGTTCACAGCAGTACCTCGGAATCTGAAGCCCCCCTTGTTCAAGAGGACTGCTGACATGCTGCCTTTCACACAGCACGGACAGTCACAGTCAACACTTGGCTCTTGAATGACCGTGCAGTCCACGGTTAAGGGTTCGTTCCGACCATGCCAGCATCTTTTCTGGGTGGGTTTATAGGGAGGGAAGAAAAGTCTGAGGCTCCCACGGCTGTGTGACATGGATGACTTCATTTGTGCGGCATAACAAGCTCATTCTTCGCATGTATTGCTCACACAAATTTCCGTCACAATTGCCTCAGACCCAAAATGTCCACTCCTCAAATGACCCAATCCAAACAATCCGAAGACCTAACAAAACCCCGGCCGATTCCCGCAATGTGAATCTTTTGCCGGCACTGTGATTGCATTGGGGTTCACAGCAGTACCTCGGAATCTGAAGCCCCCCTTGTTCAAGAGGACTGCTGACATGCTGCCTTTCACACAGCACGGACAGTCACAGTCAACACTTGGCTCTTGAATGACCGTGCAGTCCACGGTAAGGGTTCGTTCCCAACGTTGCCTACTGACACCCAACGCAGCATCTTTTGTTAGGCATCTTCGTCAGACTCAATCGCTCTCAAGAAAGCCGCGTTTTCGATGACATCTTCGTCAACATACTTCAACACCGCCTGACTCCTCCATTCTCCAGCAGAAAGGACTTGAGGCAGAGTGTGGCCTTGTGCCATCATGCAAGTTGCCTTCCCCGCCCGGAAGGCTTTCCATGTATACCTGGAGGGTCCGGCGATGCCCAGGTCTGCCAAAACTTTGTGGAGAACCTTGAGTCCCTCAGACGGTGACATGGCAGTCAGCCTTTCACCTGCGCAGACCTGTGATGATCTTTCAGCCAATCGGTGGCCCACACACAAGCGGCTGAGAGCAGAAGACTTACAACAACAGGGCCGGACCAACAGGGAACCACGCGGCCTGTTCTTCCGAGTTCGGAGCCTTAGCTGGGTGCAAAAACTCGCATCCACTACTATGGCAGAATGACGGCCTTCAGGCAGACACCACAAGTCTTCTTGTGCACCAAACTGGATTGGAAATCCTTCACTTGGCACCCGCAGCAAAAACTGCCATGCGACTGAAAATAGGTCCCCCATCTGGCCCCAACCAAGTGTGCGATCGCATTGCTGCACAAGCAATGTCACCAGCTGTTCTGTCAAAAGCGGACGGTCAATTAGTTGGCCTGAAATGCTTGCCACATAGCTTTTCTCAAGCCCTCGAATAACCATCTGAACTTCCTGGTCGCACCAGCTGGTATCTAAACGATGAAACTCGCAAGCCCAGCGCAGATAAGAAACATAATTCCTGGCAGTCCCTGGATTTCGAAAAATCGTCACGAACTGCACAACGTGTCTCGCGCACTTCGGCGGGAGAGTTTCCTCATCACGATATTGCAGCACTTGTTGGGCAAAAGAATGCCAACACCTGAGGCCAGATGCTACTGAGGGCAAGCTTTTTCTCTGCGTCTGCGTTTTCAGCTCGGCTGCCCGTGCTTCCAGTGCCAACAACCGGGAGTCTTCGTCCATATTCCCCAGAGCAGCAATCTGTTCCCGAGGCCCTCCACTTTGCCACGCGGGACACTGCGCCTCAACATTGCGGGACTGATCTGCGACGTCAGCCGCCGATAGTGCTCCAGCTTGGGCAGACTCCAACGCATGGTAACGCTTCTGCCTCTTACACTCAGCAAATTCATTCACAGAAGTGACTGCAAGGCTTAATAAACTTTGCACCCTCTGGTTATCAGACCAACGGGCAATGTCCCGCCGGTGCAAGCCGTCCAACTGATGAAGGTACTCGAACCCTTTCGACATGAGCACTACTGCACCTTCATGATGCCACGTCTGCGTGTCATCCGCTTTGTCTAGCTGGCGCAGTGACTCGCGCAGGTCTAAGACTTTCTGCAAAAAGACGGAGGGTTTATGGCTGCCAAAGGGTTTCACCCCAGGTCCCTTCGCATTCTTCGTGTCATGTTGGCAAATGTCCTTCCACCTCTTCAACAGTGCAATCCGTCTGGCTTCCCACTCGCGGGGCAACATCTGCCAGACTTCCTCAGATCGAAGAACAACGCCTGCACCCGAACGCTGGAGCACCAAAGCACTAACTTGCAATGCTTCGGCTGCCCGCAGTTGACGAGCCAGCTGATCGCCAAAATGGCGCGTGAATGCCTTCACAGTCTCATGAACCCAATTCTGGGCCAGCCAGACTTGGTTGCAGATCGCGTGATCTTGCCCGTTCATATGACGCAGCAGACGCCCCCGCACACCATGGCTGGGCAACGACACCGCAGTGTCACCCAGCACAGCATGGCAACGT